TTTGGGTATGTGTTTATCATCAGCATCACCTGGTCCCCAAGTATTCCCACATAGAGACCTAGAAGACCCCAAAACTGGCAGAGTAACCTGGTTAATTGACAAAAGTAAATGTAAACCTGAGAGCCTACTGAATACCTTTCAGGAATTCCAATAACTTCATTTGTCAAAGTATCTTATCTCAAGGGGGAAAAAATGGTATCTTGCCCCACTAGAACCACCACCAAAGTTCCAGTATTCCACCGGTATAGACCATTGGCCAACACCCTCACTATAATTTTTTCCCTCATCCACAACTTTGTAGTCCAAATTCAGGGGTTTGTTTTAATTGATTTTTTGTTTTTTACCAAAATTTACCAAAATATTTATTTTTGCTTGTTTACCAAAATATGTACCAAAAAATTTACCAAAATATTTATTTTTCCTTGGAGGAGTGTGTTTGGTAGAGAGGTACACTTAGCAGTGCTTCTGGGCTATTTCCAGCTCTGTGGTCAGGAGTCACACTCCCTGGGGTGCTCATGACCATGCTGGATCAGAGACATCCTACAGGTAAAGTATATACTAAGCTCATTAAGCTCTCCTTCCAGCCCACTACTCCATTTTTCAATACAATTACATATGTTAAATGGACATTCATCATGTTTAATTTGTACTAATCATTAAAGTAATCCAAATATAACTTAAGTTAAACATAGAATTTTTTTTTAAGTTTGACTTAATATTACAGTGGCTATTTTAAAAGTTCCCTCACATAGACCATAAATCTACTCAGTTTAAAAAAATAAGCTTACTTTAAATGCAAGAATTATAAATATAAAGCACTAACTACCATTAAAATTTGGTCATGACTAATTAGAAAAATCACTGAAGAAGTACTGTAATTTGAGTTAAAGAAGATAAATGCTTAATTGAGGACAGCTTGTATGGATAAGTACCAAGAGCTCCATAGATGACTAAAATGATAAGACAAAGGACAAGGAATGATGTTCTGATGTGATTTGATTAGAAATTCACACAGATACCCGGATATAGTTTCCCTTGAATGACTATGAGAAGTAGAAAAATCCAGTTTCATGAGGAGCTACTAACACATTTCATCAACTGTTCAGCTTACAGATAATGCCGAGAAGCCACAGTCTCTAGGCATAGGGAATTGATCCCAGGCCTTGAGAGTGAATGGACCATGGTGACTTCATCACCAGTAAAAATTGTACACCTACAATTGGGTCACTCCAATGCACATTTACTGAGCATAAATCACCAAAATTTTGCTTTTTTGTAATTTTCACAGGTTGCAGATCTCACAGATAATAAATTATGGCTAATTTTTGCTTTACTATCAATACTTTTTTTAACCAAGCTATACCTATATAATTATCAATGAACAACGGGAGGACAGTGACATTGACAGTGACATAATAAATAATGAAACATACTTTTATTAGAAAACAGAAAATGTCAAAGTTCATAACTTTAGATAACTGTTTTCCACACAAAATTTGGGCACAGATGTGTTGCTTCAACTATATAGCAAGACTCTCTCTCCTTCCTTCCAGTTTTAAATAAAATGTCTCTCATCGCCTTTTGAGCTTTCAACATAGGCATCTTAAACTTCCATGTTCGTGCTAGCATCTTTCTGAGTCAACATACGCATCTTAAAAGTTGTATGATCTGGGAACCGGGAGATTGTGAAGTGGTAATGTGCATGACTAGAGTGTGTACCCAATCTTGTTTGATCCTTAGCAAACTGATAGTCCCCGATGTTAGCATTGAAGGGGACAGGGATAGTCCTGGAGGGCCCCAGGAAGCCTCTTGGTTTCAAGAACAACTGAATAAACATTAATACCTGGCCCAGGTATTCTTGAAACCACTGGGCCTGTACAGCATCACACCTTCAGCCACTTGCATTGAACCAATGGCCCCGTGGACCAAGAATCGTTGATAGGAACTCTGTGTCTCATGAACACTGTTGGGAAGACCCTTCCCAAATAAAAGTTCCATTTTCTTTAATATAGGTCAAAAAAAAGGAATGCACAGCAGGGATAAAGTGAATCCTAACAAAATTGATTTTACCACAATTGCTCCATACTGGTTGGACACCTAGAAAAGATGACTGAAATTGATATTTGACTCTTTCATACATCAGCTTAAAGGCATTTCATACTGAAGTTCAGAGCTTAATGGAAACTTTTCATAGTTTCTTAAGTTATCTTAAGCAGCTGTTTTTGATTTTTTTTATGCTTATCAGTGAGATTGACAAAATAAACCTTTTTTCTCTATCCAGGTCACTGATTGTCAGGACTCATCTGAACATTTTCCCATGAAATTATGTAGCCCAAATGGGAGAAGAGAGGAGGAAGAAAATACAGGTGATTAATACAGGCAAAGAGGGAGTAAAAGACTCCTTGTTGAAGGATGGATTCAAACTTATTCCAAAAACTGCTGTCAATGATTCCTTGCATATAGTGAAGGTGAGAGTTCAAAAAGTCTTTCAAAAAAATCTCAGTTTGCTCTTAGGTGAAACAGTCATTTCATCATAGAGTTTTAGAGACTAGCAAATAAGCAGTTTTTAGTAGAATGGTTGAGATCACTTGCAAATTAATTGTTATGTTTATTTGTTGGATGAACAATAATTTCATAGATCGCAAGGCAGCAAGAGACTTTAGATTGTGAATATAGGTAAAAGAGATGAATCCAGTTAATGCTTCAGTGTTGCATAAATGAAAATGTCTCACATAGCCTTTTTATTTGTTTATTTTGGGGATACTCAGGAATTAGTCCTGCCTTTACACTCACTCAGGAATTATTCCTGGTAGAATTATTAGACTGCGTGTAAAACAAGCATTACTGCTGTAATTTCTGCTGTACTATCTCTTAGGCCCCTCACGTAGTCTAATATAGATTTTTACTTTCTACTTTAGCAATGACATTGAATGGGTGAAGGGAGGACTGGAAAATTCAAATGAGATCATGTATTTTAATACATCACAGCTACTCAATTCTTATTTATTTATTTATTTATTTTGCTTTTTGAGCCACACCTGGTGATGAACAGGGGTTACTCCTGACTCATGCACTCAAAAATTACTCTTGGCAGTGCTCAGGGGACCATATGGGATTCTGGGAATCAAACTCTGGTCAGCCGTGTGCAAGGCAAATGCCCTACCTGCTATGCTATTGCTCCAACCCCAGCTACTCAATTCTTGGTTTAATTATAAGAAATTCTTTCACCTCACTACTAAATAGTCTCTTCAAATTTCCTTTTCCCTGCAGATAGGTCCAGTCCTAGTCCTCCAGGGAGGAGCCACCATTCTTTACTGGGTGTGACAGCAATAACCCCACCCACTCAGTAGCCTATAAATGTCCCATCACAACAGATCACGAATTAGTACTAGCTTGAGTTCAGACGAACTTTAAGGAGATCTTTCAGAGACATCCCTGAAGGAATGGAGAGCTAACTGCCCAGGTAAGCAGATTGTTGTTATCACCTTGGAAATAGATTAATCCAAAGATTATAGTTCCAGGGTCAGAGATGACTGTTGCAGATTCATAGATGGGTTTCATTCAAGACATCTGTAGACTGAGGGGCTAACCTGACCAGATGAACCTGAAAGTAGTATAATGTTCTCAGGGGTCTGGACCCAGTCAAAATGGTTGGGAAATGGTGGGGGAAAACAAATCTTTAGAGATTCCTGGGAATTGGGAGTTAGCTCAGATGTGTTTGTGAAATTCTTTTTGAGAGCACCTTTGGTCTGAGATATCAGTGAATGTAAACAGGTTATGGGGAGAACACAGTAGGTGGGATGTGAAAGGGAGGTTTAACCCTTATGGTCACACCATGGTATCTGGCATGGCCTGGCATCTAAATAAATTCCTCGTGATTTGGATATTGACATGGGATCTGAAAATAACTAGGAGTGAAAAGAAATTGGAGACATAAAAGATCAGGGATGTTTGGAGCAATCTGTGAAGAAAAACTGTAAACTCAGAAATCTCAGATATTTGTAATGTAGGGAAAAACAATAATACAGAAAATGATAAGATCAAATCTGACTTGACTAGAAGACCAGCAACCTACATTAATAATAATGGTTAGGGGTCAGAAAGATAGTACAGATGGTAGGACATTTGTCTTTCATGCAGCAAACCTAGGTTTGGTCCCCAACACCCCAGGTAATCACTTTAACATTGCCAGGACTAATCCCTGAGTGGAGAGCCAAGAGTACACCCTGAGTACGCTGGGTGTAGTCAAATGCCCCACTCCCCCCCCCCCCCAACCAAATCCAGTAATGGTTAGTTTTTATTTTTAGACAATAAATTAAGTCCACTGATAAGAAAATATTATAATAAATACTGCCAAGCTATCTATAAAAATTTCCCTTTTCTTAACTTTACATAATAACATCTAGCAAATCCTAGGCAACATATTAGTTTATATGTAAACTCCATGTTATGTGATGACTAATGGATAGAGCCTTTGTTCATAATATCATGATGTCATAATAAATAAGAATACCTGTAATAATTAGATGCTCAACTTTGTCAGAATATGTATATCAGAAAAATGAATTATGTGTATCTTTGTGACTGACATTCATGCCATTTCTTTATCTTCCTACTGTCTGTTTTTCTCTTGACAGTTTCTGTAGAAATAGTGGTAATAATTGTCATATAGGGCTTCTCTAAATGAGACAGTTTCATCATTTGTTGAAGTTGTGGCTGCTTTCTGCCAAAGAGGACCAACAAGCCAGGTTAGTTTGAGTAAAGGCAATCCAAAGCAGGGATCAGTGATTATCTGAGTCAAATCTTCCATGAATCTTCTTTAGGACTGAAGGGAAAGAAGTAGAAACTTACTTGTGAGGTTGGAGTTGACTGCAATAATGGCAAAAGTTCAGGTCTATTGAGGTAGTGTTTGCTAAAAAGATTTTTTTTTCACAGCTCAAAATTAAAGGAGAATCAGAACATTCTGAAAAACATCTTAAAAACGTACTTCTCTGAGAACAATGGCCTCGGAAGTTTTTTTGACTGAGCTCCAAGCTGAGGCCAGCTGCCCTCTCTGTCAGGATTACCTGAGAGATCCGGTGACTCTTGACTGTGGGCACAACTTCTGTGAGTCCTGCATTCAACAGCGCTGGGAAAATCTAGAGGACGTCTTCCCCTGTCCAGTCTGCTTTCACTACTGTCCTGATGGAAACTTCAGAAGGAACCACCAATTGCATCATATCGTTGACATCATTAAGCTGGTTCCTACAAGGACTGAGAGAAAACAGAAGGAAGAAATCCTGTGTGAGATGCATAACCAGGTGTTAGACCAGTTCTGTGAGGAGGATGCTGAGCTGTTGTGTCCTCAGTGCCGAGTCTCCTCTGATCACCAGGATCACCACCTGGTCCTCATTGAGAGTGCTGCAAAGAGTCACAGAAAGAAGCTCAAAATCTGCATGGAGCTTCTGAAGAGGCAGATTGAAGAAAACATAGTGGCTTGCAGAAATGAAGTTTCGAAATTCCTCGAGGAGAGCAGGAAGATGGAAAATTTCAGAATGGGATTATATCCTGAACTTGAGGAATTGAAATCATTCTTGAGAAATGAAAAAGCTGAGATCAAAGTCAGGTTGAGGAAAGAAGAGAAAGTATTGGAGAATCAACTGGCCAAAAACAAAAGTCACATTTCAAACCATATGGACATGCTTAAAAATCTTTTAAGTGAAGTTATCGTTGTATGTTCACTGGATGACCTGGATTTACTCTCAAGGAGCGAAAATATCCACAGAAATTTTGAAGACCTCCCATCCCCAACAGTCATTTCACATGAACTCAAGAAGGAGAGTTTCACTCTCCCTCCACATTATTTTGGTCTACAGAAAATGATCAGCACATTTCATGCAGATTTAACACTAGATCCTGCAACTGCCCATCCAAGTCTTATTATCTCTAAAGATAAAAAAACCATTTTTAGAACGAGTCTTCCAGACCTTGGCAATTCACAGACATTTGCTCCTTATGCAGCTGTGCTCAGCTGTGAGGGCTTTGATGGAGGCAGGCATTTTTGGCAGGTAGAAGTCAAAGGCAGAGGTGACTGGTCCTTAGGAGTGTGTGAAGAATCCTATTACAAAAATACTCTGATATCACCAACCTGTGAAAATGGCTATTGGTCATTTGAGCTGTCCACAAGGGACATTAAACAAGATGCTCGACGTATGCGAATTGGTGTATTTCTGGACTATGAGTTGGGAGAAATTTCAATTTATAATTTGAGTAGAAGATCATACTTGCATAAACTCACTCATATATTCACAAAAAAACTAATGCCATATTTTTCTATTAGAGTGTCTTCTAAACACTTTTCGATTAGTTTGGTTACCATTAGCTAATGGATGATTTGTGTTTATGTATTTTTTTTCTTTGCCTACTACTGGAAGAAACACTGTATATAAAGCTTTAAAGTCTGTGTTTGTTTTGTGTATAGTGTTTTTTTGTTTGTTTGTTTGTTTCGGCTCACGGGATACTCCTGGCTCTGCACTCGGGCATTACTCTTTGCATTGCTCAGGGGACCATGTGGGATGCCAGGGATCGAACCCAGGTTGGCCTCCTGCAAGGCCAACACCCTAACTGCTGTACTATCACTCTGGCCCTTGTTGTCTGGGATAATGAAAGCCTTTAACACTCATCCTTTTCTTTTTTCCTTGAGTCTGAACCTGCTGACACTGATTAGAATGACCTTAGGAGCAGAATAAGGGGTGGGAGGGATACTGGGACCCGTGGTGGTGGAAATGGGCACTGGTAGAGAGATGGGTATTTGAGCATTGTATGATTGAAACCCAAGCACAAAAATTTGTAAGTCTACAACTGTACCTCATGGTGTCTCACTAATAAAAATTTTAAAAAATAAAAGCCTACAGCAAACAAAACTAACAAATTTTTAGTAATACTATCTCCTCTCCAGCTAATAACCACTTTAGATATGGCAGCTGTTCTCTTTTTTCCATGCATTTTCAATCAGCTGGAGACCGACTCTACCTTCCTATTCTTCTCATAGACCTTATCAGAGAGGAATCAAATGCTTCAGAGCCTGTGTATAGTAAAATCTTATAACCGCAATAACAATGTCCACTTCCTACCGCTGGGCCCTCAGCTGCAGCAGCTGAACGTGGCCTTGGGAGTCCTCCTTGTGCAGTGAGGAGCCTGAGCCCAGCCCCCACCAGCTTCCTCTCCCACTTCCTAGAGATGACCCTTCACCAGATTTCTCAGCAGGGCAGGAGGCATCCTCAGAGCAGGGGTCCTCACAGCCACCCCTGTGCCAAAGCCCCAGCCTGCTTTCTTCCATTCCATGAGCTGAAGTCCCCTGGCAAACTGACTGTGCCAAGCCATTGCCTCCCCTGGTGCGCCTTGCATGCTGGCCTGGGTGACATTGCCCCTCCTGCTTGTTCTTGCTTTAGATGGGGTGGGGAGACGGGCAGGAGCTGCAGCCAATACCTTTCTTCTTGTCTTTCTTTTGTTCTGCTTTTGCTAAAAAAAAAAAAAAAAAAAAAAAAAAAAAGTAACTGCGAGATAGAACATTACAAAGCTATTGATGATTTGGTTTCACTGATACAATGTCCCAGCACCCATGCTCCATCCCTCCAGCAGTGTACATTTTCTACCATCAATTTCCCCAGTTTCTCTCCCACCACCCTCCTACCACCACCCCTTCCCTGCCTGTTTGCCTGTTTCTCTCTCTCTCTCTCTCTCTCTCTCTCTCTCTCTCTCTCTCCCTCCCTCCCTCCCCTCTCTCTCATTCTCTCATACAGGTTCTAAGAGGTCATTGTACATTGTGTTTGTTCAGGACATTCAGTATTTTTATTGGGAAGGCACAACTGAAGTAGCTTTAAAAAAAACAGCATGGTGGCTTTGGGGTGTGGATGAACAGCTGGGACTTCTAGAGGTACAGGCAGGTGGGGGGAGGTAGTCCATCCTACCCCAAGAAATTCTTGATATTTCAGTCACAAAATTCGCATAACTGCATATGCCCCCACCTCCTAGCCAGCCCTGAGGCCAGAAGGTGTATCAGGGAAGAGGTTATGTTCCCAGGAGCCAAACAAAAAGTCAGAGGTTGCATCACCATCCTCTGTCCCTTCATGCGGCACTTAGGGAGAAGTAGATATTGATACTTACCCAACCCTCCAGGCTGAGAGATCAGCCCCCAGAACTGGGAGGTACCTTTCTGCTTTGGGTCATTTCCTTTCTCTAGTGATGGCACTTTTCAGAGAAGCATCAGAATAAAGGGATGTCCTTGTCCAATTGCCAGGAGAAGTTGGACACAGAGTGGAACATAGCAGAGGAATTTTCATTGAAAAGACAAGGAACTGATTTCCTTTTGAATAGAGATTTTTGAGAACAATGTTTAAGAATATTCTCAAAACTAAAACCAGAGCTAGAACAGAAGCAAAGGTGATTTCCTTGCATGTCTGAATCAGTTTCAATCCCAAACCCCATATTGTTTTCCAGCCAGAGTGATCCATAAGTGCCATAGTGAGAATGTGCACCCCCCAACACCAAAAGGCAGGAATAACTGAATGCAAACAAAATCAAATTCTCTGAATGCAGGTTCACACTAAAAAAAAGCATCTGGTGTACACTGATAAAAGGACTGGCATTGGAAGATTATATGACTAAAACTCATTCATCTTTTTTTTTTAAATTGAATCACTGTTAGATACACAGTTACAAATTTTTCATGATTGGGTTTCAATAAAGTATATATGTGTATGTATATAAATGCATATATATATCAGCAGTACAAGGAATGAACATTTAATTCATGAATACTTATTCTGAATGAAGAAAACAAATATGTACTGTATAATATCATTTGTGTGTTGGCATCAGAGCTATAGCTTTGTGGGCTAGAGAGAACGCATTGCATTTGGGAAACCCAACATCCCAACATCATATGGTGCCCTGAGCACTTTTCAGGACTGACCTCTCCACAGTGAGCTGAGAGTAGCTGCTGAGCACCTCAGGGAGTGGCCCTGAACCTAAATAAAGCAATCAATCTTGTTCAGCAGGACATATGGCTCAAAGGGGTAGAAAATATGCCTGACAGTTATGAGGTTGTAAAATACGATCCATAAAGTAACAAAATGGGAGACTAATACCCAGCAGTGGCCGAGATTAGTACCAGGAATTTTGCTCCATGACTTGGAGGCCAGCCACACACTCTAGGGGAAAAGGAAGCTCAGATAGAGAATGGAGCACCAAATAAAGGGTGTTGGGAGGATCCTCCCAGGATAGGAGAAGCATGCTGAAAGTAGACTATAGACCAAACATGATTGCCACTCAATGCCTCTCTTGCAAACCACAGAACCCAAAAGGAGAGAGAGAGAACAAAAGAGAATGCCCTGCCACAGAGGCAGGGTGGGATGGGAGGGATGGGGGTGAGAGGGATGCTGGGACTCATGGTGGTGGAGGATGGGCGCTGTGGAGGGATGGGTACTTGATCATTGTATAACTGAAACCCAAGCACAAAAATTTTTAAGTCTATAACTGTACCTCATGGTGTTTCACTAATAAAAAATAAATAAATTTAAAAAAATAAAAATATGATCCATGACACAGCATGGTTCTCCACGCAGAGCACCAACAAATGTAGCCATGGGACCCTCTAAACAAAGTCTGAGTGACATGCACACCCCTTGGAACTGACAGACTGATTGGTAGAGCACTAAAATATCTGGTCTGCACTACTGGGCTTGATGTTGACTAGAATAGCCATGATGCACTGCCAACAAACCACCACTGGATGTGGGCTCTATAGAGAAAAATTAAACAAAAGTAATTAAAAATATAGAGTTGGGGAGTTAGCTTCGAGGCTTAGAATCTAGCTCAATTCCTAACAACTTGTGACTTCTTCAAGCATCCCAAAATAATCACCAAAAACTGATTCTGGAATAATGACAGAGTACTTCCGGTATGAACTCAAACATAATATAATATAAAAATGATAATAAATAAAGTTGTGTGTGGATCAATAGCACAGTGGATAGGGATTTTGCCTTGCACACGGCCGACCGGGCCATCCCTAGTTCGATTCCTCTGCCTTTGATTCCTCCGCCCCTCTCGGAGAGCCCAGCAAGCTACTGAGAGTATTCCGCCCACACAGCAAATCCTGGCAAGCTACCTGTAACATAATCGATATGCCAAACACAGTAACAAGTCTCACAATGTTACCGGACCCGCTTGAGCAAATCGATGAACAATGGGAGGACAGTGACAGTGACAGTGACATAAAAGTCACAATTTTATTTTAGCAAAAATATTCATGTTTTCCAGATAGTCACAAAAATGTCCTTTCTTGACAGAAAAGTCTTTCCTGTAATATTTGTTGTTTGATGTTTATACTCAAAGATTTTTTGCTTTACATTTTTTAACTATAGAGGATTGGTGATATGGCTTAGTTTTACAGTGCTTGCCTTGCATGATGAGATCCTGGGTTTCATATCTATCATGACAAAATAATAATAATAATAATAATTTAAAAATCATTTGTAAGATTGTAGATTTTTGGTGGTGGGAGAATTCGAAATGATGGTGGTGGTAAGGTATAATGGTGGTGGAATTGGTGTTAAAATATTGCTCGAGTGGGCCCAGTAACATTGTGAGACTTGTTACTGTGTTTGGCATATCGAATATGTCATGGGTAGCTTGCCAGGCTTTGCCGTGCGAGCAATATACTCTCTGTAGCTTGCTGGGCAATCCGAGAGGGGCAGAGGAATCAAACTCGGGTGGCCCATGTTGGCTGTGTGTAAGGCAAAAGCCCTACCTGCTGTGCTATCGCTCCAGCCCATTAAAATATTGAATGTAATAAATTACAAAAATTAAATTTTGTAACATAAAAGTAAAAGAAAATAAAATAAAATGGTTCTGAATTTCACGAAAAAAAAATGAGGGAAGATATGAATAGAAATTTTATCAAAGAAGACATAATATGGCCAAAGGCTATACCACTGATAATGATAGTTGGACATGATCACTCTGGATAAAAACTGAGTGCTAAAAGTAGGTAAAGGAACGAACATGAAAACCACTCAGTATCTGTATTGCAAACCGTAATTCACAAAATTAGGGAGAGAGAGAGAGAGAGAGAGAGAGAGAGAGAGAGAGAGAGAGAGAGAGAGAGAGAGAGAGAAGTGCCTTCCATAGAGGCAGGCTGGGTGGGGAGAGGGTTAAGGTGAGAGGGAAATTTGGGACATTGGTGGTAGGAAATGTAAAATGTGCACTGGTGAAGGGATGGGTGTTGGAACATTATATAACTGAAACCCAATCATGAGCAACCTTGTGTATCTTACTGTGATTCAATTAAACAATTTTTTAAATTAAAATTTTAAAAAATCTG